GTCGTTTCAAACCCGTAAGACCTCCGTTCATCTTCGGAACACAAATTAAGATATTTTTTATGCATTCTGACAGCTCTCCCTCCCATAGACAGAGGGTCCTTACACGATCAACGTCCAGAAACGTAGCAAGGAGATCGGTAAAATACTCCATGTGACATCAGGGGTTCAACCATAATATTATTGAAGCTACAAGAATACTTTTTGGCGCAAAAGAAATAATGCATTGAGTCAGTGACATTTCTGTCAACTGTCCCTGGACTCCGTTGGACTCTGACATATTTTCTGAGTCGAAAAGGCTCGAGTCTGAGTCAAGTCCGAGTAAAAATGCATCCGAGTCTGTGACAAGTCCGAGTCCTTAAAAAACTGTACTCGAGACCGGACTCGAGTCCAAGTACGAGTCCGAGTACCCCAACTCTATTATTGTTGCTCCTATATGACCCGCCTTACTGAAACGCGTCGATTTTTACAAAGTTCATCTGTCTGAAAAGCAAGGTGTATGCAGATTAGCCAGCTGTGATTGGCCGAATACCTCAAGCGTGTGACGGAAATGTTACGCCCCTTACCATACTGTGATGCTGTGTCCCGGCCCGACAAGACAAAACCAGTAAAACCCATTACAAACGAGGCATTTGTTGCATCCAGTAGGGACATAATTACTGATTATAATGACTTATACTGTCTTTTTACGCATTGCGTTGTGTATCGCTCAGCATAAACATAAAACCATGTCTGTATTTGTGATCAGAGAAACAACAAGCGCTACTCTACACTGCTCAAAACTTGCGTTTGAATCATCAGTGGCAAATTCTTTAAATATGAAAACGTACTTACAGTCTGAGTCAAAACAGCCGGCATTGTCCCTATGACCCTATCCCAGGATCAGGAAACAGTCCTCCATAAAAGGCGCACATCTGAATATTTGGGTTGAACTGTTCTGGAACAGTGTTGTAAATACAACTTAACCACTGATTTCTAGTTGTGTCCTCTTTTGGAAGGCCAAACAAAGTAGTTTCGCTTTCACAACGAAACACACAGCGTCTCCGCAGCATGGTGGCGGTGGCAACAATACTACAGCGAGAATAAAAGTTACGCCTTCTTTCTTTGCGTAAACATTTGGGCGGTGTTATGCAAATCTTCCCACACAGTGACGTAGACATGTGGGGGCGTGTTTAAATTAGGTGTTTTAGGAGGGCGTGGACGACACAACTTTTTTTAAAGAATATCTCTTTGGGTTTGAGACTTTAGTCTTTGCAACTTTAGGGATCTTATCTATGCACGAACAGCTTGTAACAGTCCAAAGAGAAAGGAAAACTTGAAATCACATCATATGAGCCCTTTAAGTATTTTTTCCCCCAAGATCATTATTTTTTCTCGTCAGTCAAATACTCAAATTTGTAAACCTATTCAACTAATTCATTATAAAGATCCGATTCAAAAGAACGAATCGTACATCACCACAGTCGAACCGTCCCATTTTTAGACCAGATTGTTCGACAATACATACCCTATATACAGATATTAAGCTAGATGACCCATCATCATCCTGTACATGCAGAACTCACACCTTTAAACTAGACTTTTTCAGTAAATGTACATTTTTATTAATCCACTAACTGAACAATTTCTTAACATCCTAGTTTTTGTGGTGTTTCTATTGATACAGTTGTTCTTTTGTCCACCAGAGAGCATTATTAAATAATCCAGAATAAAAATGTTGAAAAAATCATGACAAACAGCAGTACACAATGAGTTTGTTCAATTAGTGTTAGAATATTAGTAATTTTAAAGGGAGAAGTATACACAAATACAGATATGAATACAAAAAGTTGTTTTTAAAACAGTAGAATTTTACTTCAAACTACTGTACGAATGTACAAAAAGTTTAATTTAGAGAGAAAAATGTATATTTAAGGTGATAGTCACACATTTACAGCATAATATTGTTAAAGGGGTCATATGATGCGATTTCAATTTTTCCTTTCTCTATGGAGTGTTACAAGCTCTTGGTGCATAAAGAAGATCTGT